GTTTTGGATTACAACACAGCCGCACTGTGGTTTTGGACAAGACCACAACGCACTTAGTCTTTGGTTTTGGACAATACCACAGTGCACTTTGGTGTTGTGCTGTAACACTTTGGTTTTGGACAGTACCGTAGTGCACTGTGGTATTGGACCATACCACAACGCACTTTCGTGTTGGACAATACCACAGCGCACTGTGCTATTGGACAATACCACATCGCACTGTGGTCTTGGACAACACCACACCGCACTGTGGTATTGTCCAATACCACAGTGCGCTGTGGTATTGTCCATTACCACAGTGCACTGTGGTACAGTCCAATACCACAGTGTCACAGCACAATACTAAAGTGCACTGTGGTATTGGGCTGTGACACTTTGGTTTTGGACAGTACCACAGTGCACTTGATATTGGACAACACCACAACGCACTTTGGTATTGGACAATACCAAAGTGTCACAACACAATACCAACGTGAACTGTGGTATTGTGTTTTGACGCTGTGGTACTGTCCATTACCAACGTGCACAGTGGTTTTGTCACAGCACAATACCAGAGTGCAATGTGGTATTGTCACAGCACAATACCACAGTGTCACATCACAATACCAAAGTGCACTGTGGTACTGTTTAATACCACAGTGTCACAGCACAATACCAAAGTGCACTGTGGTATTGTGTTGTGACACTATAGTATTGGACAATACCACAGCGCACACTGTGGTATTGGACAATACCACAGCGCACTGTGGTTTTGGACAATACCGCAGCGCACTGTGGTTTTGGACTCTACCACAACGCACTGTGGTATTGTCCAATACCACAGTGCGTTGTGGTATTGTCCAAGACCACAGTGCGCTATGGTATTGTCCAATACCAAAGTGCATTGTGGTATTGTCCATTACCACAGTGCACTATGGTTCTTTCCAAAACCACAGTGTCACAACACAATACCACAGTGCACTGTGGTATTGTGTTGTGACACTGTGGTTTTGGAAAGAACCACAGTGCACTGTGATATTGGACAACACCACAACGCATTTTGGTATTGGAAAATACCAAAGTGTCACAGCACAATACCAAAGTGCACTGTGGTATTGTGTTGTGACACTGTGGTACTGTCCATTACCAAAGTGCACAGTGGTATTGTCACAGCACAATGCCACAATGCACTGTGGTATTGTCACAGCACAATACCACATTGTCACAGCACAATACCAAAGTGCACTGTCGTACTGTCCAATACCACAATGTCACAACACAATACCAAAGTGCACTGTGGTATTGTGTTGTGACACTGTGGTATTGGACAATACCACAACGCATTGTGGTATTGAACAATACCACAGCGCACTGTGGTATTGGACAATACCACAGCGCACTGTGGTATTGTCCAACACCAAAGTGCATTGTGGTTTGGTCCAACACCAAAGTGCGTTGTGGTATGGATTACAACACAGCGCACTGTGGTATTGGACAAAACCAAAGCGCACTCTGGTATCTGACAATACCACAGCGCAATCTGGCATTGGACAATACCACATTGCACTGTGGTTTTGGATAGTACCACGGTGCACTGTGGTATTGGACGAAACCACAACGCACTTTGGTGTTGGACAATACCACAGTGCATTGTGGTTTTGGACAATATTTCAGCGCACTGTGGTTTTGAACAATATCACACTGCACTTTGGTATTGTCCAATACCACAGTGCGCTGTGGTATTGTCCAAAACCACAGTGCGTTGTGGTATCGTCCAATACCACAGTGCCCTGTGGTATTGTCCAATACCACAGTGCGTTGTGGTATTGTCCAACACCCCAGTGCGCTGTGGTATTATCCAAAACCTCAGTGCGCTGTTGGTTTGGTGCTGTTTCTATTGCTGCTGATTTTTCGACTGTTATTATGACTGTGCTTTCGTTTCACTCAGCTATTCTTTGATGCATTTGTCTTTGCTTGTGTGTGCAAACATTCTTCCAAGAACTTGCACATTACTTAAGTCCCAGTTTGACTCACAATCTTCTTCCATTCAAGCCGCAGCCGAAGCCTGCAGGGATCGCAACCCCCAGCCCGTCGAGACACAGGCGTTTGAGTGTGAGACCGAGGGTTGCGATTGATGTTGTTTCCCCACAGACATGCGTGGAGTCATCAGGAGCTCTAGAGAGAGGGTCGTGCACGAAACAGAAAAAAAAAGATGTGCGCTACCAAGCTTGCTGCGTCTGAGAAAGGGAAAGGGAAAGCTACTGCGTGTGAGAAAGGGAAAGGGAAAGGTACTGCGTCTGAGAAAGGGAAAGGGAAAGGTACTGCGTCTGAGAAAGGGAAAGAGAAAGCTGCACAAGAGGAGCACCAAGTACCTCAAAGTCTTGTGCCAGGCGAACTTACCGACGAGATGGCACGGGCCTGGGACGAACTTCAAAGTTTGCATCAGAAGAAAATCTCCCAAGAGCCATTTTATATGCCCATGACATGTCTCAAGAGATCATCGGTGGATGAGACCGAAAACAGGCCTTTGGAGGTTCGCGAGCCCGATGAAGATCATATCTCGACGCTTATGGACTCCATGATTGCTTGCCCGACTCGAGATCATCTTCCCTTCGTTGGTGTCGTGGGTCCAGAGGAGGTGAAAGACAAGTCGAAAGTGGATCTCGACCGGTGGAGAAGGGGCGACTACAACATTTACGTGCTTGGAGGTGGACATTGTCAGGAGGCGAGAGAATGGCTGCGACAGATCTACTCGGATAAGGACGACTACAACTGGAATGTCTGCTATGTCTATGCAGGCCTGTCGACGGATGAAGCAAGGCAGGTGGCACACAAGCACAATCTGGCAGCAAGTTACCACAGAGACATGAACTTCATCGAAAAGATGAAATTTCTGGTGCAATGTCTTCGAACGGAAGGGCTCTGTGAAGACTCCGGATGTCAAGATAGCCTGCCTGCGCGAATATGGGATACCCGTCAATCCAAAGAAGATGCAGACCAATGACCCGCTGATGCAGATTGCTATGCGCCCGAAAGAGATCTGGGACTTGTAGTTGAAGATTTTTTAGATTTGGAAGAGGGGAGAGGTGAAGGACTGGAAACTGAAACCTTTGACAAAGAGCCAGATTCGTACAGAGGTCGCTCCAGAATCCAGCGAATCTGAAGGCGGGAAGCAGACAAGGAAAGGGAAAAGGCGGGACAGGGCGGCAGCAAAGGAACAGGAGATGGCATTTTTCAATCCCCGCCTGAAGTTAAAGGACAACAATGTCCCGTTGGTGCCGTGCGACATGCCCGCACAACCATGGATTACGATGGGCAACATCCCTCCAGAAGCAATCGTTCCTATTCTGATGGAAGTCATCTCCAAAAAGATCTCCCTCGAAAAAATGGTGAGGAAGTTCAAGGTCGTAAAGAAGTTAGGCTACGTCGCGAAGACCTTCTGCGATGGTGTGAAGTGCAAGGACTTCAAAACTGCTGAAGAATTGTATCTTTTGCACACCACAAAGAAGGTTCTTTAACCCTTCATCGGCAGTTTTGACAGGCGCGGGGCTAAGCCCACTGCTTTGTTAGACCACATACAACAGAAACATTCCCATGAGAAATGAAAGTTGAAAAAACATTCCATAAAAAAAAAATCCTTCATATTTATAAATTATCATTCCAGTGTTCGTCAAATTTTAAAATTTTGAATTTTATTTGATAAGTTTCCGTCTAAATATAAGCTTTCCCTTCCAACTACATCTATTTGTTCAAGATGGAATGAAAGTATGGACGATTTTATGAAATGTTTTAATTAAACTTTCATTCTACTACAAGAAATATCTTCTAATTTAGATTGGATTAACCTATTTATGATTGAAAATCATTACTTAGAATGATAGTCCAATTAAAATATTTCATGAACTTGTTCACACTTTCATTCCATCTTTACCATGCAGTTCAAATAAGAAAGGATACCCCATTCTTCGAAGGCAAATTTTCAAGTAAGACGGAAAATTTTAAAATTGGAATGACATTTTTTAAGATGGAATGAAAATTTAAAATTTAGAATGTAATTTCACTATAGAATGATTATTTAATCCTGGGAAATTTTTCCGTTGTAGAACGAACCAAGCAGTGGAGGAAGATGGAGGACAAGATAATAAAGGAGGCAGAAAGAGCAAGTCGTGATTTCTTTCGAGCTGCGGCTTTGGACGAGCCTTTCACTGACTGGACGGAGGTGAAACATGATGGGTGCGCAGACCTCGTCAAGGTGATTCAGGGTGACATGCTGCATTTGTCACAGCTGCAGAAGAAAAAGCTGCCGATTTCTCTCGCCATCTTTGACTTTCCCTACGGTTTCGCCCACAAAGGTCATGCACGTGACACAGAGCCATTCCCTGAGCATGATGTTGTGAATGTGTTGCAGAATGTCAAGCAGGTAACCAGCACAGCGCTGTGGACAGTTGCTGGTTTCTGCTCTTTGGACATGCTTCCCTCAGTCCGGTCTGCGTTTGCGAAAGTCTGCAATGCTGGCCAATAGCTTCTCATGTGGTGCAAGCCCAACGTGACAAATCCCGGTGGCCCCAGGCTTGTTAGCGCGACGGAGTTCTGCGTGTTGGGGTACTACAATGTGACGGGGCAGCGTGAGATGGCTCATTATAACTTTTCCCCGACCGATCCCCACCACAATTTTCAGCTTTTTGATACGATTACGCGCAAGTTTATGCACCCAAGTGACAACTTGGTGTTGTGTCCGTACCAAAAGCCGTATACTCTATACTCCTGGTTGGTCAGAGAGTTCTCACCTCCCGACGCCACGGTTTTGGACGGCTTCTCTAGCTCAGGTACAGGGGTCATTGCCTGCATTTTGGCAGACAAGAACTGCATTATTGTGGAACTCGACAAACGCTGTGCAAAGGAAATCCGAATGAGACTCCTCACCGACATCGAGGAGACATTAAGAAGAGAAAAGTCGAGAGAGGGAAAGGGCAAGGGGAAGGAACACCAGCAGGATGCGGACATTAAGGTCTCCGGGGACG